AAGAAGTTTATATATGAACCTTAATATGTTTTTACAACTTGTCATATACAAATCTAGGAACTGCATTTTCCCTAGGACACAAACATTGCCCGGAAATCAGCCATATTTGTTTCAAAGTTCAGTTTCAATGGATAAAAATCAACTTATCAGAGACCAAGTAAAAATTAAATCAACCAATCAAAAAAATGGATACCATAACTAACAAGAGACTGAATAGAAGGCTGTTCTCTGAATCTGTGTTCAAACGGGTTTTTTATGACAAATTAACAGTTAAACTTTAGACACACAAGCAGACTTAAAGCATTTTATCATACACAAATATAGCAGGAATGTAATTAACCAAACCTAGTCTAAAGAAAGTACAAAATGCATATATATTTGTAAATATAGAATATAAAACAACATAACATCTGTATCATTAATGAGTTTCCAACAAAATCTTAACAACAATTTCTATTGGTTTTTATTCATCTTGTATAAAATATTCCTCCTCACATGGTTTTCTGTTAAATGGATAAATATTTGGGCTTTAAAAATGGTCAAACTATCATCATGTTCTATAATTTGATCAATTATACATTTTCAAATTTTGAACTATCTTCTCTATATATTGCAAAATTTAACACTGTAAAACTATGCAGCATTGTGTCTTGCTGCTCAGTGATCAAAACAAATTAATTCAACAGATTTTAGTTGGAAAAAAGGGAGACAAATATTAATATCAAATTACAAAAGGGAGACAATTCTCAGATTTCTTTAAAAGCCAAAATGGTGTGCAAATTGTTAAGGGGGGATTACTGCTACTCAAAATTGAGATATATTGTACCAATATTTATCATTCAACAGAATCATGAATCAATAAATAATCACAGGCATAAACAGTTTAACAGTACAAAAAAAATCATCATATGTAAATAATATAGTGTAAATACTTGTACAGACTGATCTCATGCAAACCAGTGTCTTTCAAATTTGACAAAACACTTCACTAACTACAGTATACAGTATGTGTTTAACATAGAAATTTATCTAAAAAATGAAATTATTTTCTTCAGTTATTACAATTAAAATAAGATGGTTTGACCATAAATCTTGAAAGGTTTTGTTTTCATGGTTTAACATTGATTGTTTCACAATTGATCTTATTCAAAAATACACCAAGCCAACAATGAGGCCTTCATTTTCAAGTAAGTAAACTTACAATTTTTCAAACAACAAAAGTGACATATTATAAAAGGACTTTGTTAAGAATATAAAAAAAAACTTTAAATCAATAATAATATACTTATTCAATCAAAAACAAATTTCAATAACTATTTATTTACAAAACCTACCTATAAGAGTATTTACATAGGTGTTGCACCTGTTTACTTGCAAACATTCTAATACTTTGGGTTAATTTTATGAACTCAAAACAATTTATTTTGAACACTTAAAGCTTGCAATAACAATGGTTTTGATGATTTGAATGAAAAAGTTCACTGTGATTAATTATTTCTATAACATTGCACTTTCAACAGAATTGAAAAATATTTTTAAAAAATCACACAAGTTATTCATTGCAAAAAAAAGAAACAGCAAAAAATACTTAGCTATCTTAACATACTTATTTAGGTTGGTACACAACAAGCACCTTTCATACATGATGAAATAAAGCAAACTGGTGTATTGCACTTCCAAAACCAACACTGCTCTTAATAATAAAGTCAAGCCATAATTTATTCATTAACTAGTGGTGATTTTTAAAAGCAGATATGAAATGTCACATATGACTGGATGGAATTTGGCTTGCAAACCAATATAATGACAAAGTTACAAAAGCAATTTGTTTACATGCTCAAATATATCTGCATCTTATAGGAGTCATTTCTTTCCAAAAAAGTGCTTACACTACATTTTGTGAAGGTTGATCATCACTGTAAATGACCTTTACAAACATGTCTGACATCGCCCTCCAAAGGTTAAAAAAAAATCACAATGAGGATGACCTTGGAGGATGACCTTGAAGGATGGCCTACACATGACCTTTCAAGGTCAATGACCTTAATGTTTCAGTTTTAATCTTCCTTGTCACCAACACAGACCCGATCTGTAAAGATTTTCTGGATAATTGTTGGAGACTTCAACGTGGTCATCATATTCTTCAAGCCAGCCTTTACACTCTGAAATATTCAAACCATTTAAAAATGTTTCATTCACTTTATTAACAGTAACATCTTACATTTACATACACAGCTTTGATCATAGTAGATGGATAATGAAAATACAAGTAATGAAAAATTTACAACATCGCAGTCACTGGGATGGGAAAGAGTGTAAAAAACAAACATATTTATAAAAAGCTTGAAAAATGAATTCATCAGACCCAAAGAAATCACCATTTACAACATTAAATATCAAAAAGAAATAAATCACAACAGCACTATAGCATGTACACAAAAACTTAAAATATACAAAATATGTCATTTCGAAACAAAGGTAAAGATTTCATATATAAATCAAAAGAATAGACTGAAAAATAAAATATATACCTAATGTTTAGAGACCATACTCAAAGAGACTAACTACAACAAACGTTAAGACTCTAGCTGTTTTTGTTGTTGTTGTTGTTGATTATTGTCCGTCTGCTGCTCTGACTTCCTGTTACGGAAAGCAGTCCATAAATTAGACACACTTTGAACTCCAGCTTTTACACCAGTCTGCATGCCATGAACACCAGTTTTAAGCCCAGCACTAACTGAATGAACACCGCTTTTCATACCAGTCTGTACTGTGTTCAGAACGGGTTTGACTGAACTGCTCACCTTCTGAACACCATGTTTGACTTCTGTTTGGACGGTGATCAGACTTTCCTTGAGAGATTTCTGCTCAGTGGGAGTTTCATCATCATCATCTTCATCAAGCTGGCCATAGGAAGATAAACAGAAAATGTGCACATAAAATAAAAGGTGTGCATAGAAAAAAAAACAACATAAAATTTGTACACAAAAATGTTCCTTGTCGAACACTGTCATAGGTTATGACAGCCTCACATTAGAACCCCATTCAATTCTATTACTTACCCTTAATCACTCAAAATAATACACACAATTGCTTTTAGGTGATATTTGTTCCTGCTCTAAGCAATTTAACTGACAAAAGAATGTATGCAAATAATATATCTGAAGATATAAAAATTAAATCACAACACAAATTTATATATGAAACGGAAATATTCATGCAATAATGACAATTTACAACACAAAATGATCAAGAAACAATATTTGAGCCGCGCCATGACAAAACCAACATAATGTGTTTGCGACCAGCATGGATCCAGACCTGAGCCTGTGCATCCGCACAGTTTGATCAGGATCCACGCTGTTCGCTTACAAACCCTATAACAAGTATAGAAAGTGATAGCTAACAGCATGGATCCTGATCAGACTGCAAGGATGCGCAGGCTGGGTTGGATCCATGCTGGTCGCAAACCCATTATGTAGGTTTTGTTATGGCGCGTCTCATTTAAGAAAACATTTAGAGAACCATGAAAATTGATAAAATGTACAGACAATTATAGTGAACACTTAACAATTTAATCTTATGAAAAAGAATGGTCACTAAGACTGACATAAAGCTGCATTATGTAACCTCCAGATGAACCCAAATATTTCAAGAAAATCAAACTTGAGAATTAGGTACTGAGATTTTAAGAAAAGTAAAAGGTTCAAAATAAAAGTATAATCATTTCCATGTTATGACTGATTTTTCTGTATTTTTTATCATATTTCTACTGCGTTACTAACGAAGTAAGGGCTATTAATGCATATTTTGACCTCTTTTTGGTAATTTACATTGGTTGTAAAGCTTTTTGCAATGTGAACTTTATTTTCTTTGTTCATTTTACAATATTTTACTTTTTAATACATTTTCAAAATTTTCTTGAAAATTATCATAAATCTAAGGCATGCAGCTTTAGATATTATAAATATGGTATTTTTAGTCTAAGCCTTAAAATCGTTCAAACAATTATAACTTGATAAATTTTCAATCAAATTTAACGACATATCTTTGGGAAAAAAATATCAACACTTTATATTATTTCCTACTGAAATAAATAATTAAATTTGTTTTTAAATGATGCATTAATTATGATCTTATCACTGTTAAATGATTTTTCCCAGAAATTCAGCATTTATTACAATAAATGCATGGTTGAATATTAATTTACAAGGAATATCATTTAATCAACCATTATCAAGATTAATATTCCCCTCTTTATTACAATGTTTACTATATCAACTTGCTAAATCTTTATTACACAAACAACATTAACATTTTGATGCATTAGTTTGCAACAATTTCCAGTCATATAAAATGCTGGCTTAAATGCTGTCTGAAAACGTAATTACAGTTTCTTACTTGACCAAAATAAACATGTTCAACTGACATTTTATTCAAATTTCTATCCTCAATTAGTAAATATATGAGCTTAAAACCTTATACCCCTGAATTTAAATAGTGTACTTGTCCTCCAATGAAATTAGGACAGTCCATTGCTTGTGTAAGGGGTTTTAAAGTCAAAGTACTAAATAGAGCAGACGACAGTGTAATTTGGTCAAACTGTAAGAATGAGACTGGTCATATATACTACCTCCAGTATACAGCCAGCCAGCCTGTACATCCAGGCAGTTTGATAAGGCTCTATACTGTTTGTGCGGTCTTTTGCCATTGAAATTCCCTTAAACTTCAAATGAACTGTTCCAAATTCGAAGCAGGGCAAATCCATTATACATATTCAGCAGGGTAAGGGTTTAAGTTATTGCTTGATGCCCTTAATTCGTCCCTGTCCTAGAGTCAACACGCTTACTGTGTATGTAACAATGTTCCAACAAATTTTCGTCAAGAAAGAAAACAGTTGGATATTTTAAAGTATATTTAATGTATCTGTCAAATTTCTTCAATATAGGAAGCTTGGATCATTAAAAAATATGGTGTATCAAACAAGCACTGTGAAAATGCATAGGGTAACAAAATCATGGCCACCTGGTGGATATAATCTAAAATCAAATCAGGGCATTTCCATTACATAAATTCAATTACATAATGTAATGAAATATTCATCACAGTAACAGGGCAGTGTCCTGTTTCATATTTTTACACGAGTTTATAGACATAACTATTTGACATCGGACCTTAGATATGGAGAAAAAAGTCTCTTAAAAGCATTATAATCACTTTATTTTATTTACCAGCCTGTAGACCTATCCTGATTTATAGTGGCGGTACTCCCTCAGGAAATATCAGTGACATTCCTCGGTGATATTCCTAGATGCACTCTGCACAATAACAACTGAATATTTCATTTGTTCAGATTATCAGTTTATCTGCAGTGATTAAATTTTCTTTTTTAATCATTATTATAGTCAGAATAAAAAATATTGACATACCAGTATCTAAATACTGTTTTGATGCGCATTATTAAAAAGTGGATAATTATTATAATATTAATCAAAGGGTGTGTGAATTGGATTTGGCCACAAATGTTTAAATAATCTAGAGTAAAAATATTGACATTTAATGAATAAACATGATTAAATACTATTGTTATTGTTGTTGTGATGCTTATGACTAGAAAGTAGAAAGTGCATTATGATTAATAACAGGGCTTGTGAATCGGATCTGGTTACAAATGTTTAAATTATCTTTAATAAAAATATTGACATTAATTAATAAATATGTTTTTTTTAATTCGTTGTGATGCATATTATAAGAAAGTACATTATGAGTTATCATAGCTAGAGCTCGTGAATCAAATCTTTAATAAAAATATTGACATTTAATGAATAAACAAGTTTTTTAATAAAAATTACTATTGCTGTGATTGTTGTGATGCAGATTATTAGAAAGTTCATTATGAGTAATCACAGGGTGTGTGAATCGGATGACAATTGTTTTGAATTCAGTGATAAACAAACATTTGTTCGGAACTGATTCAGCATGTTGACAACGACGCTATCCATTAATCATTTTTTATAACTCCGTTCTACAGCATCAATCACAAAATTGTATCAACCACGGAACTATCATCCTTTTAAATCACATCTTTAATACAAACTGACAATCCCTGACAATCAATTTTACTTATAATTCTTCATTTTCCTAATTTCTGTGCATTCTTCCCTTCAGTAAATAGATTAACATAAATGTCAACGCAAAAAAAAACCTTCCCTTCTTCAGTAAGCAGGGTTATTTCCTTCCCTATTGATTACTTTTTTTACCTCCTTAATTTAAATTTCATTTTTTTATTTTTTTTGCCTTTTCTTTTGAAGAGCTTTATTTTGGATTTTTTTTTATTCCTACTTCAACGAAGAAGAACTTTCTCTCTTCACTAATGAAAAGTTGCCATAAGAGCATTTTTTCTTCCTTCACTTTTGAAGAGTTGCTGTACAAGTGCTTTTTCTTCCTTCATTACTGAAGAGCTGCTATTAATGCAGTGTGACAAGTTTGTTATCGCTAGCACAATCAGTTATGATACATAGCAAATGGCAGTTTACGATAAAAGCATCCACTCTCCAAGGACACTTAATTTTTGGTAGATAAGATTGCAAAACATTTCATAACAATAAAACTCCAGTCCTATCTGTATGTCTAACATATCAAAGTTATTGATCTACTATACACAAATGTTTTAAAATGACAAATTACTTTTGAATAACATTTACAGTTTTGTTTTTGTTCTCAAGAATCAATGCATTTCAGAATAAATGCATTTTTGAAAAGAATTAATGTTCTACAGCATTTTTACTATACAAAAACAGAATTAACATGTTTTGTACTTAAAGATAACAATGTATTTTCTTCTCCTTAATATGAGTTTTGTCAGAGTCACAAGACTTATAACCAAACAGTCAATACCCTTCCACAATTACCCAGTCAGGATTGCCCTGCCACAATTAGCCAGCCAAGATTGCCCTGCCACAATTACCCAGCAAGGATTGCCCTGTCACAATTACCCAGCCAGGATTGCTCTGCCACAATTACCCAGACAGGATTGCCCTGTCATAATTACCCAGCCAGGATTACCCTGCCACAATAACCCTGTCAGGATAACCCTTCCCAAAATTACCCAGTCAGGATTACCCTGCCACAATTACCCAGCCAGAATTATTCTGCCACAATTACCCAGCCAGGATAAAGCCTGCCACATTTTCCCAGCCAGGATAAAGTCTGCCACAATTACCCAGCCAGGAAAAAGCCTGCTACAATTACCCAGCCAGGATAAAGCCTGCCACAATTACCCAGCCAGGATAAAGCCTGCCACAATAACCCAGCCAGGATAAAGCCTGCCACAATTACCAAGCCAGGATAAACCCTGCCACCATAACCCTGTCATGATACATACCCTATTTTTTCTTTCTTTCTGTTTTCCAAGGTAACGATGCTGGGCATCCAAACATTTCTGATATCTTAGCTGCAAATTATAAGTAAATTAATTAATATTTCACCATAACACTAGTATTAAAAAATTGGTGCATTAATAATTGTCTTTCCATTGTACAATAACAAGAGCTGACAGAAGGACAGCTTGCTCAAGTATTCTCAGTGCTTGATAGTAAAACATGAGCCTGGATAATGTAGAATTTTCAAAGTCCAAAATAGGCCATAATTCTGTCAAAATCCATATAAGAGTTATGGGTCTAAAATAAATTATGCTCTCAAATAAGTGTGTGAAGTTTCAATCCATTCCTTTCAGTAGTTTTTGAGATACCAACTTGCACACAAAAACTTAACCAAAGTGTGATGCCTAACACAAGCATGAGTACAATAGCTCTCACTTTTGGTTCTCGCAGGGCAATGGTTAGTGAGGTTTTGGCTTACATGATTAAAACAAATTACAATGTATATGTTGAAGAGCAGTTTTTAGTATTGATGAAGAAGATTTAATATTTAAATTGTAAAAATATTTGGTTAATGACTCAATCTCAAAACTTTTTTCACCTTTAACATGTTTCAGTTAAATATGAAAAATTGTCAAAATATAATTATGGTTTTCAGGTATTTATATAAATGATTGAATCAGTCACATAACCTTTTTTTTACTATTTTCCTTAAAAAAAAGCTCATAATTTTTGATATCATTCATGTAAAATTTCAATAGCAGACTGAATAATTTCTCCATTTTTAAAGGCCAGTAATTTATTGCAGAAGTTCATTCCAGCACTTCATTTTCCTCTTTCATAACTTATTTTCCCCCAGAAGAAAAATCTATTCATCAACCTTTTATCAGAGCGAGTAAATAATAAATTTTCTATCAGAAATTTTGCAAAGTCATTTTTTTCAAGTATAAACCACAAACAACAATTAAAATTGTCCTTTTACCATCGTCAACTCCAACATAACAATGTAATAAATACTGATACATACACATCTCTTGGGGAAAATTATTTTCCAATAATGCTAACTGCATTGGGAAGAAATTATTTTCACATAATTCTAACTGGATTTAAGATAGTTTTTCTGGGGTTTTGTTTGTTGTTTTCTTATTGAATGATAATTCTACAATTATTGAAAACCCAGTTTTTCTGAGGTTTTGTTGTTGTTTTCTTATTGAATGATAATTCTACAATTATTGAAAACCCAGTTTTTCTGGGGTTTTGTTGTTGTTTTCTTATTGAATGATAATTCTACAATTATTGAAAACCCAGTTTTTCTGGGGTTTTGTTGTTGTTTTCTTATTAAATGATAAATTCTACAATTGTTGAAAACCCAGACAAGATATACAGGTATTTTACTTCTACTTTACCTTACACAATTAAATATCAGTTTTACAAATGGGAAATAAATGACATCCTTTACCACAATAGGAAATTAATGGGAAAATAATGTGACAATCATCTGCTTTGATCAAGGGGGATAACAACTTTTCTTTTTAATCCTTTACCTGCTAATTATCTTAAATTGACTTGCCCATTTTTAAAATTTTATTTTTGGTTGGCTTTTACGTCAGTATAGGTCATATGGCGACTTTTCAGCTTTACTGTTTGAGGAAGACCTCTGTACATCATTTCTGTCACAAATGGGCACTGAGTAGAACCACCGATGTTCCGTAAGCTTAAGCTGGATAGCTTTCTCACAAGTAGAGTGTGACGAACCTACAGCAGTGAGAGGCAAGTGGTTTAATGTCAGCAACCTTAAACACTCAACTATGAATATTTCAATCTGGACAAAACTGTTTATCATTTTTAGCGATATTTTCAAAATAAATACTGAATAGAGAATAGTGCAGACCTCGATCAGTTGGCTCTGATAAGCTGAGCACAATCAGTGGTTGCAAGCAGGCTAAGGCTAAATTTACTTTTATTTCACACAAGTATTCCCTCTTAGATGTTTCCTCAACTTCAAGGTGTTAAAAAAATCTTATAGTTTCATGGAGCTAGCTGTTAAATTCACTTGCGATTCATACCTGGAAATGTGACTTTGCAAACTTCTTATGAAATTTTCTTTTTTACACTAAAACTCAACAAGATAAGGGGGCAAGAACATTAAAGAGGCAAGAACATTAAAGAGGCAAGAACATACCTTGCAGGCAGCTTCTATAGTTTTACATAAAGGTCCGGCGTTAGGATCACTATGGAATACATGAACGTAGAATTTGTCCTCTGCTTTGTGCACAATGAAAGCACATAATCTGTAAACAACATAACAGTATATATCTTCATTCTTACTTATTACAACAATAATGAAACTAACATTAACATAATTACATGTCAACAAAATATAATATTAACTTGATGAACTTTTGACACAGGTTTGCAGATACTGAAATAGAATCTTTAAATTAAAGTATTTATAAAAAATGACTGGCAAAATATCTTGATCTGAAAAAAAAATTGGGGGAAAACAAAAACAAATACTACTAAAAACAGTATAAAAAACAAACTATATTTGTGTATCTTAGAGCTTTTATAAAAATGTTTTCAGACTTTTGTTTCCATAATTGAAAATTGCCCTTCACACAGAGAAATCAAAATAATACTCACTTAAAAATATTTTGAATATACAATGTTCACCCAAAACCAAACTTCAAATCTTTGTTTATATATTATCTAAATGATCAAATGGTAAAAAAACTTGTACAAATTTATGACCTCATACTTAACACTACAGACCTGTTAAAATTGTTAGTGTTTATTACTAGTTTCATAGAGAAATTTCTTATATCTTTGTGAATTTCTTCCAAACATTAATTAAAGCTTACAGAATATAGAGCAAGAATTCTACCAGATTTTTTATCATGTCTATAATCTAGCAAATTTTCTGCCCCTATGACCAAACATATTTTTTTGGTATTTATCAAGTCTATGACAGGATATATTCCCCCAGGAGCTTACAACCAGGCCATAATTTTATCCCAGATTCTTACATGCTTTATATCATAGTAGTTTTTACCACTACATATTTTCTTAAAAGTAACAAAAATAAAACATTTTCATACATTTCAAGGATTAAATAAAGTAAAATTCAAATTAGATTTTTATATCTCTATACTGCATTACTAACTGAAATGTTAAAGATAATATTTATTATAGTCATTCAAAACTAGACATCACTTAAACACACTGACATACCAGGAGCTATTCAGAATGTACTTTAAGGTATATCCGTACACAGGGATCAAACAATCAACCTAATGTAAGCTAAATACATGTCTACATACACAGTTTGTTCATAAGGATATAATTGTTATATATGTTTACTTCTAAAATCCTATTCCAGCAGACATAAAGAGGCTACAAACTTTATGCACCAAGACTCCAGACTGTCAGTTTAAATTTAATCAATGAATGGCCAAGAAAGTAAGTGCCAGCATGGCTATGTGGTAGACTAGTCCAGTCAGACTTCGGACTTGTAACTTAAGGATCGCTATGGGCGTAGGTTCAAACCCTGTTACGGGTGAGCCCTCATTTCCTTGAACAAATCATTTTACTCATTGCTCTGTACTGGTTGGAACAGGAATGGATCTGAGTGTGTGTCTATACACTTATAGCTTCCTATACAATTAAACTAAAATATATTCTGTGTAAACAAAGAAAGTTAGAAACTTTAAAACTATGTCATTCATATGCCACATTTAGGAAAGCAGTACATGTACATTTGATGGAAGCATAACTTACTTGACATTTGTCATACTGATTCCCATGAAAGACAAGTATCTCACTCTACACTCTTCTATCTTATTGTCAGGATTCTGAAACATACATGTTAACATTTACCATATATATATAGATTAAGTGTCAAAAATGTGAGATACCAATGTCACCTGTACACAGCCAGGCAAGCTTGCACATTTTTGCTGTCTCACCAGACACTATAATGTCGTCTGCTTAACCCTTAACCTCCTGAATTTCTTAAATGGACCGACTCATCTTCCATTTCTGGGACTATTTATTACCGATTCGGGGGATATCAAGATGTGATTTTAAAGTAAGTCAGTACAGAGCCTGGTCGTACTGGCTGGGCTTTTCATTTCAGGTTTTCATTTCTTTGACAATGGAATACATACTGTGTATCTACTTGAATGTGAATTATATACCTGTAGTAATATTCTATACAATGCTGTACAACATATTGTAATGTTATATAATCTGTGTAGTTTTTCACAAAATTGTCGTAATTTACATTACATGTACAATGAATGCGATACTCCTCAGAAAAGCTTCCTTTTTGTCTTCATATTTGAAGAAAATTAATTTTCATGTTAAATCTTCAAATTACACTAAATGTTTTATCAAATGCACATATGAGTTAATCAATCAAATTATACTAAAGGATAACTAGAAATGTGTCCATAGGACACGGGTGCCCCCACCGCGCCACTGTTCTGTCAATATTTTTACTAAGTCAAGGGAAATAACTCTACAAATACTGGATAAATCCACAAGCGAAACCCCAGGTGCAAATCTAAATATGCTGAGCAAGCTACCCATAAGGTTTAATGACTATGTAAAATCCTTTTTTGAGTAACTTGCGACACAAGTTGAAAATTGCAAAAAATTTCTAAGTGAAGGGCAATAACTCTAAAAATACTAAATAAATCACGACGAAAATACCTGGTGCACAACAACACATGCTGATCAACATTCCTGTAAAGTTTCATGACTCTAGGTCAAATACTTTTTGAGTTACATGCGACACAAGTTGAAAATTGCAAAATTTTACTAAGTCAAGGGCAATAACTCCGAAAATACTAAAAATATCCAGACGAAAATACCCAGGTGCACAACTACACATGCTGATCAACATTCCTGTAAAGTTTCATGACACTAGGTCAAATACTTTTTGAGTTACATGCGACACAAGTTGAAAATTGCAAAATTTTACTAAGTCAAGGGCAATAACTCTGAAAATACTAAAAATATCCACATGAAAATACCCAGGTGCACAACTACACATGCTGATCAACATTCCTGTAAAGTTTCATGACTCTAGGTCAAATACTTTTTGAGTTACATGCGACACAAGTTGAAAATTGCAAAATTTTACTAAGTCAAGGGCAATAACTCTGAAAATACTAAAAATATCCAGACGAAAATACCCAGGTGCACAACTACACATGCTGATCAACATTCCTGTAAAGTTTCATGACTCTAGGTCAAATACTTTTTGAGTTACATGCGACACAAGTTGAAAATTGCAAAATTTTACTAAGTCAAGGGCAATAACTCTTAAAATACTAAAAATATCCACACGAAAATACCCAGGTGCACAACTACACATGCTGATCAACATTCCTGTAAAGTTTCATGACTCTAGGTCAAATACCTTTTGAGTTACGTGCGACACAAAAGTGAACGGACGGACGGAAGGACGGACGGAAGGACGGACGGACGGACGGACAGACAAGGGTAAATCTAAATGCCCGCCACTAACGTGGGGGCACAAAAAGACAGAAAAATACCCCATGTTCTGTTATTGTTATGGTAGAGGGCGCCACTGCAACACCGACATATCGCCATTTCTCAGGCGGGACTTTCTCAACCATCCTGTCTATTGCTGAATTCAATACATCCATTCCTGTAAATATCATATCATATAAAAATACCTGTACAAATAACTGACCACACTGCAATATATTAATTTCCTGACTGTGTTTTGTCTTGTTAACTTAGCCTCACTATCAGAATGAACCATAGTATACGGTCTTAAGTAACACTTTTTCCTTTTTTTTATGTTTTTTTTCTTCATCTTTATGATATTAAAATCAATGATTAATCAAAACCATATCTTGCATACACTTGTCAGGCAGTAAATGGCTAAAACCATGAAGAAATTACTATATTTTTTTGTTTAAAAACATTACTTAAGCTTGATGAGGATGGAAGCACCAGACAATTTAACCATTTTTTATCTGTTCTTCAGAACTATCATTTTACGCATCATGCCAGTGACTCCAGTGTCTGTGTTGATAACAAGCATTCTATCCACCACATTACTTCTTTCTACTGCTCCCCCCCCCCCATCCTTTTACTGCATGTTGCATTTTCCTAACATGCGCAATTCGATAGATTCCCTTACAACAATTTTAACACCCTTCCTATTAGCATATGTTCTAGTCTAAAGCAATATTAAATGACAAACTAATCTTAAATTACATATCTTCTATGGCATCCTTCTCTAACATCAACTATAAAGTTGACATTTAAATTGATAATATTACATCATATATATAACATTACAAGAAAAGAATCTGAAATATCAGTGACAAAATGTCATCATATATCACACATAACATGCTTCAAATCCTATAAAAAGAGATTTTTACATAAAATTATTTTTACATGGAATTACTCTATGGAAAGGCAAAAAAATTTGAAATGCAAAAATGCGTCAATAAAAATGACTCAACAAGACATCCAGTCTAACGCTTATCTCAAATCTCAACATCAGCTAAAATAATTCCATACATTATCAATGTATCAACAAATTGGCTACATAACCTATAAGAATCATTCGGGCAATTTGATTGAAATTTGTTTCGAAATTTACCCATTTACTTTACTTTACAAAAAAATCAATCTTTGGTCATGAAAAAAAAAAATTATTTGTTTATGTAAGAAGTGACAAATCTCTATAAATCTAGTCATTGAACATTTTTTGTAGGTGATTTAAGTTGCGGTTCATTTATTTTCTCAATATTTATGTCTTAACAGACCTACAAGGAATCCCAGTCCTATCTGTCACAGAAACACCCTTAAATTTCGTAAAAGTTTTAGTTCAACCAAAGATGCTATTTTAAGAACACTGTGGCTGGATGGCGGATGTAAAATTTTCAAAAAAAGACCTACCTGTGGGTTTACCAACTAGATCGGAACCGACATAATGACATCGCAGAACTTTCTTAGGTTCTTCCATCGGTGTAGGGAAAGATGTATCTACAATATAAATCCTTTCTTTACTGGCAGTTTTATAACTTAATGCTTTAAGATTTTCCCTCTGGGCTAAGTCAATAATACTCAAGTAAATCAAAAATATTTTATATAGTATTTTTGTTGGGTTTTTTTCTTCTGTAAATTAACTAAATCTGTTCAGGATGGCATTAAGCATAAAATGGGGTCTTAAATTTCCTAATTTTAAGTCATCATTTGGCAGTTGTGACTTTTCTCATCTTAATACACTTGTATACCTGCATTCCCAAGTGAGAAAATACATAGCACCAAGATATGGCATCTAAAACGATAGCATTTTCTGCATCATCATTTTTACAAATAGAACTTCTATGTTTATGCAAATATGTCAAATTTTAAACATAACTATTGGTATTTACTGTAACCGTAGATAATGTGGTTTAAAACTCACATAATCTCGCACAATCACTGGGTATAATATTGTAAACAATCACAGCAGGTGAAGCATTAATATCTTGAAAATCACTTCATTTTTTTGTATCTTTTATTTGTTCTATTTTAACAACACAGTGACAAATCTATATGTCAAACTGCCACTTCAAAATTAAAAAAAGCACAAAAGAACCTTACAAATGGAGAAAAAATTAAGTAATTTGCATCTGTTTAGATCAAGATCATGATTTTTCAAAGTCAGTTATCTGAATTGCATAACAACCTATCCTTTCCTGATTGTTCATGAAAGTAATAGTTTAACATCACGAATCGCTTTATCTTTACGTAGTTATATCATAAAAAAAGCATGTCTGATTTCAGCAATAAAAATATTTGTACCCTAACAAAAATATATAAAATGCCAAAAAACTTTCATCAATTTGAAGGTACTGAACTCATCTTCAGCTTTCAGCAAAACTACTTATTCAGCTAATTAGTAGCATGTTGACTTAAACACTTTAACTGTATATATACTCTTCAATTGTGTACTTATTGATTTACTTGGTAAGTTAACTTAGTCATTGAAAACTTATAAACACATGGGCTATGTATTCAACTACCTGGAGTATTGCATAGAATTTTCTACTGTATACTTATACAGAACTTACAAATGTAGTGTATAGAACTTATAAGACAATTGTTTACAACTCACAAAAGGGGAACTAAATTCAACTTACATTAATTTTGTACTTGACTATTGTATAGAAAATACTAGTGTATTGTATAGAACTTACTACAGTATTGTATTGAGCTTATAAGAATATTGTATAGAACTTTCTAGTGTATTTTACAAAACTTTCTAGTGTATTGTATAGAACTTATTAGAATATTGTTCAGAACTTATTAGTTTATTGTATAGAACTTTCTAGTGTATTTTATAGAACTTACTAGTGTATAAACTTTGGAAGGTAACTTTCTCTCCGTTACTTTGAGTGGTGGCGGGTTCAATGTTTGGCAAGTCTGTTGGGCGTGTGAGCCGGTTGAGCGCGTTCTGTTGCAGTGTGCGCTCCATCATGATCTTCTTACAGATGTCACGAAGAGTATTGGCAATGTGACGGGCAGGCGTGTCACATCGGAACACATGACACATGTAGTTCTTTGACAAATTGTCACGAGCAACATATGCAAAATCTCTGGAAATTTGAAAGAAGTGCTACATAGTATCGAATATATAATGCTTCATAGTCTAAAAATCCAATGTTTTTTTTCTTCCTAAATTTTAGACATGGACTTTTCCTTCTTTGTATTTGGTATGGACCATTGCTAATACGAGAGATTTTGATATAAAAAAGCTAACATTATGCGACTAACAGTACAAAGTCTGGTAAAACTGTAAACAAGAGTAAATTCATTTAGATAGCTCTATACTGTTGGCATATGTAATTTTTACTAATGACAATCTTTATTCTATTAGACATGGCCATGTATTACTTGCTTCAGTCTATTATCACATTTTATACTGAAATAATGTTAATGCAAGGCTCTTTCCTACTCAAAACAAAGGCAGACTCCTAAGGGACACTTGCTTTTATTCTCCAGTCTATCATGTTGCAACTGCATTAAACATTCTAAGATTTCATTTATTATTATGTACATTATGCATGCCTGATGGTTATCATTTAAATCAAAAGAATATTTGTTTTGCTTTTCCAATCCTGCATCTCTTTCTGGCTTGAGGTAACATTAATATTTTAAAATGATAAAACAATGGCAGGTACTCTAAATACTTTCAATTAAGTCATCTAATACATATTTAATCATCATCACAAAAAAACAAGAGCTGTCAGTAGGACAGCATGCTAGACTATTCTCAGTGCTTGATAGTCAAACAACAGCCTGGATAATAGTTCAATAAAGGGCCATAACTCAGTCAAAATCCATGGTAGAGTCATTGGCCTTTAATTATGACTTCCTATCAAGCTCTCAAATAAATGTGTGAAGTTCCAACTCATTCACTTTAGTAGTTTTGAAGATATCAACTTGCATGTAAAGACTAAAGACTTAAGCAAAACGTGACACCTAAGCCAACGCCCGAGTGAGTACAAAGGCTCTTTCAAATTTTTTTTTTTTTAATAGTTGAGCTTAAAACAGAACAAAAATATATGTTCTCCGTCCTAGGTCTTTAAAACCTTTTAGAAAAATCAATAGTCTGTTTAATCAACACTATTTGTGAACTTATGTAAATATTTAACAACTGACATTCTTGCATCTTTCCTATTTGCTTATAATAAACAAAATCTGTTTGATTTTCTACATGTGCAGTAAATTACGGGACATTAGAACTGTTTTATTAATCATTAACTAATATCAAAAGTATTAAATTTTGTTTGATCAAAATTTTTGTTTGATCAAAAATTTTTTTTGACTCTGGTAAATAATTAAAGATTTTTATTTCAAGATACAGCATTAAAATTGCACTTCAACATAACCCTGATAATTGGAATATTTCAGAGGTATCAAATGACCTTAAATTTAAAGCCTAAAACCAAACATTATTTTAGTTTCATTCAATATGTTAGAAATGATGTTAATCAATTTGATCATTTTTATATAGCATAAAATCTTCCTTTCATGTTATACCTACTAGATACCTTTTTATATACCTTGGTTCAAATACTTTCAGAAAAAGGGGCATGTAAAAATTATGTCAAAATTTCTTAATTTTCCAAAAAGAAGCAAGACATTCAAATTAGAACAGCATCATAATCTATATATAGATGACAGCATTCTTACCTGCCGTTCTCCCTGCCTACTCCCCACACCCGGATGGTATGTATAGGCTGATAGTTGAGTACAGACATATCCTGGGTATCTATCAACCTCAAACTCTCCATGTCAAGGTCCATGTATAAATCCTTACCCTGTAAAATAATAATATTATATTATACATTTACATACAACACAATACAATTAATCAAATCAGAACATGTCAAAAAAGATCATGTACATTTCTGAAATAAGAATATCTGTAATTAAAATCATAATTGAAATTGTCAAAGTAATTTTGATGATTTGAATTTTATTATATCACAATCAGGAGGAAAATTAGGCATGAATAATAAATAATACATAGTGATGTTAGAGATGAAGTTTGAGTCTTTTTTTAATGACCTTAATTATGCTGTCATTTCTACAGGAACTTTTCTCAGTGTTTGATAGTAAAATACAAGTAAAAGTTCAAAAAAGGTCATAATTCTGTCAAAATCTATGTAAGAGTTATGGGCCTTAGACATTGACCTCCTATTATGCTCTCAAATAACAGCAAGACATCTCTTGGAAATAGCACCAAATGATAACACAACTTGACAGTTAAAACATACATTATCTAATAAAATATAATCATTCAGGAGTTCCCCCACTCACAACATTATGGAAACTTAAGAGAATACTCCCTAGAATCTCTCTAGAATAAGATGATGATAAAATTAATGGTGGTCTTTTTAAGTTTTTCATTTTTTTGAAGACAGAAAATATCAATTTAAAATTTTCTTACATCTCCCCATCTTCCCACAACATCATTAATATCATTTCTGCCGAGTGTAAGATCCATGATGCACTTGTTTACAGCCTTGTTGCTACGTTCGGGAGTCAAATCTTCTTCTGCTATTGGTACCCAGCCCAGAGAGCCGACAGCATACCTGACTGGTTTCTCTGTGCTGTTCTCGCCATACTTAGAGTTCCTCTGTAGCGTGGATCTGTTAATATAATTGGTATAGAAATACTCGTTACGTTATAACATATCTGTATCATGAAAGAAATACATAACATTTATATGATAATTGGTAAGAAGACAGTTTAAACATAGATATGAAATAAAAAATAATCATGGTGTAGAATTCAGGCTGTGACAATGCTACAAATTCTATGGTGCTTTCTGTAGAGTTTCCAATATCAAACGAAACCAGTTGTGGATGTTCAGTTCATACCTGAACATGTCTTCCCAGACCCATATATCATACCATGTTCATATACCATATTACAGTGTGCAGTGTTAATAAGAATGTCAAGCAAGGATTAAGGTTGCTATATATCAAGTTTGATTACATTAACTTATTCCAAACTCTAGTTATTGTCCACAAACCATGTAGTGGACTGAACGACAAGCTAACTCCTATATAACCCCCTAAACTAAATGTTTTTGGGTGTATAAAAATGTCATTATCACATATACTTATCACATATACTTAATTATCAACAAATTTTCCAAACACTGGCTTCTTTTTAACTCTATACCTTCAAATGCTCAAAAACACTTTTAAATCATAAACTGAAAGAAAAATGAGCAGAATATTTAACTTTTCAAAATGTTTTAACAAAACTTATTTTATCATCAAAAGAATCAATCATCGGTTATTTTCTATATATGGCTGTTAGCATGTTAAAACATAATATTTCAAACACAACTATTTTAGGATGTGGAGTTTGAAGAAAAAAGATCTAAAATCAATTTAAGAAAGATATTGCCTAAATATGTTTCCAGTTATATTATCTCCAAAATGTTTATTGCATTCAAAATAAATCTTTGATATATCTACACACTGAAAGTACACTAACAGGTACTGTAAAGTCATTATTTCTCGTAGAGCACTTCTATTTGTAGTATATGTGGACAGGCTTATTAATCTACAAATTTAAGATACAACAAAATTTAATTTTGTCTGCTGTAAGATTATTTTGCATTACATTATTTGCATTTTACTTATGTGCAAAAAAACAGACAATCTATGAATTTAGGAAGCCACAAAAATGTCCTTTTTGACGAAACCTCTAAGTTTCATGCCCATGGAATTAAGTAAATTCACAGTACTTGGTCCTTGCAAAAACAAGATCTTCCACATAACATTTGGGCACATTTACATTTCTAGTTTTGGTTTCAATGTATGAAAGGACCAGGCAAAGTAAAAGGACAAGGTAAAGTAAACCTTGAAATCTAATTAACAAATCTTTAATTAAAATTGCTATTGTTTAAGAATGTACTATTTTTATTATGTTTTAGATGAGAAAACAGTTGAAGCTAATGCAGTATGGACAATTATTCAAACGGTCTTCAAAACATTCATTTCACAACATGGAATAATTAAACAAAAGGTTCACTTACTATTCTCATCACAAAGACTATGCAAAGCATGGTGCTCAGAGTTCTTCATGTGAACAATATAACATTTAAGTGTCTAAGATGAAGAAATGTTCATATCAGCACAAAACAATACAATACGGACAAGAGCCATGATCAATCAATTAAATATCACATAAAGTTATAAACATTGAATATCAAAAGGTAACTTACAGATTTTTGAGAGATTTGACAGCATATTGCAAGGCGTGGTCTTCAAACTCGTGCAAGTGGTCTTCCGTGCTGGAACTGGACGGAGTTGAGGCTAGGGAATCTACAGACACAGTGCTCTGTCAAAGTGAAATAAAACAACAATTAAACCAGTATTATAGTTTTGGTATATAAAAAGTGCCATTTGAAATCTTTGTTCACTACACAATACTTCATTTTTAAATACATTTTTAAAATTTTCATGACAATTAGCATAAATCTGGAGGCATACTGCATCAAGAGAAAAAACAACTTTGATTAGAAAAGCATTTCACACATTTAAAATTGCGTAGAAAAATATATGGTAAAAACAAATTAATATACAAACATAATCATACACAATAAACAACTTTTCTCATCATTTTTATGAAACAAGTCTTTTGGGTATAACACACCTGATTTAATTTAGCAAAAGAATTAAAAACCATAGAAAATGACATAAGTATAAATGTTTTGTCATTTAAGTTTACATGAAGCTGAAAATAGCCATAGGGAATTTTATCACTAATGAAATATCATATCTTTATCCGTCAATCATGTTTGCAAATTATGTAATTCTACAAGGAAATGGTAATGATATATTAGAAATTTAATGAATTTAAATGAAACACATTGTATTTCCTATGTATTTTCCAAATTAGATTATTTGAAAAGAGGAAAACAGCATCTAACAATAAACATTGCAAATGCTGTTAAATAGTTCTAGCTGAATAGCTGTAGTTGCAAGAACTCCAAGATTTCAAGGGTAGTAACTGTTCATAATTTTTCAATGTTGATTCTTCTAGATATACAAAGATCGTTATTGACATTATAGTTTCATTTTTTTGTCTCATATTTTTCTTCCTTTTCTTTTTTTTTTCTTTGCTTTTTGCCTCTTTGAACATAGTAAGTTAAAAAAAGAATCAAAATTAATTCATCAAATTAAGCATTGAACTGTAGTCTCAAAGCTAGCTAAATATGAATTTCCAATGTAATTTGCAGTACAGTTCATTATCATCTGTTTTTAAAGTAGCCCAGCTTAAATCTACAGGTATGTAAGATTTTCAAGTTTTTATGCTTTTATGCTTTTGTAACTTTGAACCATTCAAACAGTATGGTTGGTCAGATTGGCCTGTCTCTATACTCTGGTGGCATTTGACTACAGACAAACAGAATAAGGTTCATATATACTTACGGAATCACTATTGATGGATATGGACCGCAATGTTTCCTTCATATCAGGTGGGGCTGGTGAGGGTGGCTCCCTCTGGATTGTACCACTCTTAATGTGCCAGAAATATGGACCATCTTCATCTGTAAAAAATATTATACAATTCATTATATCTAGACTGAATATATCAAACTTTTTACATTATTTTTTGGTAGGGATTTAAGACATGCCAACATTGTTTAAGGCTTAAATGGTAAAACCCCTTATTCATCATTCCAAGGATTACTTAAAAGACTGATACTTGGGTAGTACCACTATATATATAAATAAAAATACCCCACTATATGTATAAATAAAAGTAAACAATGTCTGTTGAATTTCTTCTATCGAATATATTATAATGTATTTAGTACAGATAAACTGTACTGCCTCTCCAATGATTTAATACAATTTATTTTCTCTAATTCTCTTATTTTCAAAATAACACCATAAAGTCACAATTTAGTTTGGAAGAAGCAATGTTATGGTAATTGAATTTTGTATAAAAGATAAACACTTTGGCATAAAATAAATAGTAAATTATTTACCAAATCACCTTGAAGTATGTTGACGTAACTGCTTTATAAAAACCTTTATTGTCTTATGTCAATAGTCGTCAATAATCATTAGGACTTAATTGATTGGGAAAATTTGTTGCTTAAGATGTGTGTTAAATATACTATGTCTTTCGAAGGGCTATAACATGAATTTGGAATGCTTTAATCAGATTCCCAGTCTTTAATTTTCCATTTTTTATGAATTATCGGTCAACAAAAATGCATTGCATGATTGATCTACCTACTTTTTATGGATAAAAAGCGTGTAGGTGGTGGATGGATGACAATAGGCCAATATACATCATTAATATTCTATTTTAGTACTATCTTTATTAAAACCACAATGCATATTTAAACAATAGATAATTCAACCATTAGGGGGATAATTTGATTGAATACAAATTAACATGGAAACAAAATATGGAAATTCAGGCATGAAATATTGATAAACACAGGGCCAACATTTAATTTGACCCTGCATTATAACTAACTTATAATTCAAGAATTGCTTTGCTGCAGAAATTGTCTGAAACAGCCTAAAATTATGTGCATGGTAATTTCCTATAAACAAAGCATAAACTTGGCACCATATAGTCTTTGTTTTTATAAATATCCAATCTCAGACTATAGCATACACAACTGGTTGGTGGTTTTTTTTTATATAAATACAGTAAGAATTGGCTATTATTTCATGTGATTAAACAATGGTCTGTCTGGGTGAAATCAAGCATCTCATATTATTCTTTACCATTCTGATTTTATTGTATTTATGTAAATAGCACGGTTGATCACAGACACTGCAATTTCCTTCGTGTCTGTTGACATAAATATCATTATTCTTATTCATATAAAGTGAGGTAAGGATATTACATCAAACGAGATAACATAACATTATGTAATGACACATTGTATCTATGTTAATGGTGTTTAAAATAGGAGATTACAAGTAATAAAGAGGGATACAAGAGCAATACATAATGATATCAACAAACGGTTCCCACTTTTAAACTATACTGTCACTAAAATCAAGTCTGAATTCAAATTAAAAGCCCAAAATCTTTGGGGAACAAGTATCCCAAATATGACTGACTACAGGAGTAATTTTAACTGGTTGACATTTTGAATTAAATTAGAAAATATTTTCATCATCTGAAACTTCAGACTCCATAACTGCAATTTAAAATCTTGTCTAAAATATAGCCTGGAGTCATCCTAAAAAGTTTTACAAATTACACCAAGACAAATAATGATTGGGAAATCTATTTGTTTACCTTCTATCAGCCTTTAGCAGATAAAAAAAAATAAAGATAAAAATATTTCTCTTATTTAAAAAGCGGTTAATGATCTTTAAAATCTCCATATAAAGTATTTGTTGTGGCACGCTCATCATATCTAGGTGCTTAGAAAAGAAACGGTCATAATGAAATTACGTATCTCTCGTGAAAAAAAAAGCTTATCTATAAGGGAACTTCTTTTTGTTTAAGACCTATAAAGTTTCGAAGAGATACAATAAGCAACATGATTCATATCATACTTCAAAAGGACGTGATCTGCTTCATAAAAGTTCTAATAATCTAAAACTTAAAGATTTCTAAATAGAATTTCCACGATCTCTTTCTTCTTGTCACGCCTTGCCTTTAATTATCATTTTACTCTAACTTTATTAAACGACAGGCCAAATGAATGTAACAAAAAAAAACAATCCTTCCTTTTATTTTTTTACATCGTTAGACAAATTGCACACCAAGCAAATTAGCTGTCAGCAGATAATTGGCATTAAAGTCTCACAGAGTCAGGAAAGGCAGTATAACTTTAATCAGAGCCTTTGAAGTTAGAATTATTTTATCCTCTTCTTGGCAATAAAACACTAATTAAAATCCATGGCCTATCTTTTGCCTTCACACTTTGACTTCTTCTATCTTTTCTCATTTTTATTAAGCGTATATGCATGGCATTTGGAACAAAAGTTAATTAAATGATTTATTTTGTAAATGTAATGTTTAGAAAACACAATAAGAAAATTTGTTATAACAATTCATTTATGTTCACCAGATATTGGAGATCAGTTTAATTCAAGATGCCAGGAAACCCTGAAAACCCTGAATTTAGCATTACTTCAATTGATTTTATATAGAAAGAGTGTTTGTTTTAGGAGTATAAAAACCCTGAACTTCAGGCAAATGCCTGAAAACCTGTACCCATGTCTAAGAGATTGTCAGGTTCAGTGTGAATGACCATAGAAAGGATTTCATGATCAATCACAACAAAAGAGACATGCACCTTCCAGTACTTCAACAACCGATTTACAGTCCAACAATCTACCAGTCCAACCATCTACCAATTTAGCTAACAAGCCCTAATGAATTGCTCTCCTAATATTTGCCTTAATAGAAACACCCATATAATACTTTTTAGAAATTACTCAGGAAACAATGAATACATAACTATCTCTTGAACAAAGGTATTGGCCTCTGATATTGTAGGTAACTTAGTGTTATAAAAAAAGATGTTTTATATGACTGTGATTTATGAAATAAACAGCAAGCTTCTTTATAAAGACAAGTTTTAACCCCTCAAAAGATCAGAGGCGAATTTTATGCAAGAGATAGTTTTATAAAATACTCTCTTTTTTTTCATTTAATCAAATAATACCTTCACATCTCTCCCAGCCTGGGGGTAGTACTTCTGTCTCCTCACCATCTGGCACATTCCCATCAACTTCATCTGTCTGTAATTTATGCAAAAAACAAAATAAAATAATGCACACATTAAAACTAAATTTTGAGTGGTCACACAATTCTACGAAATGAGGACTTCTGGAAAAATATTGCAATAAGCAAAAGAAATTTTCTATACTAGATTTGACTATCTCGTATTTAAGTTCTTAATAAATTCAATAAGCATTGACAAAACATTTTTCTTTTTCTTTTTTATAATATTATTCTACAATACAAAATTTCCCATGTGGTAGTTTTCTGATGTAAAGATATTATAGATAATTTTTTTACTTTTATAATTCACAAAACAGTAATATCATAAATCTTTATTTCCTAATTATTGTCTTACAGAATATGAAATTATCCTATGTTTTAAAATCATGCCCTAACACAATCTTTAATAGCATGTATAAATAAATACAAAACATTGTCCTTTTTTATCTGAGAAGAAAAAAATACTTATTTTTACTATATGACAGACAAAATATTGCCCAACCATTAGTAACATTAACAATTCCCTGAATATAAGACGTACAGCACTCACAAATTTGAATAAATCAATCCTATCTCTTCCACCCATAATACTCCCATATTTATTTGAATTCCTAATGGGGCAATGATATTAATAGCTTATGTCAGGGGTACTTTTCTCACACGAAAACTACCTTACATGAAAATGATTAAGGTGGTTTATCCATAATAAAATGGAAAAAAATTTGGTATACATTTTATATCTAAACTTACTGTGATTTCACACATATCAAATAATCATTACTTTAAAGTGTTAAAAGCTATAATCATATCTGCTACAAAAATTATTGTTTGAATTTTAAGAGAAAACTTCCAAAATGCTTTTATGAAATACAAATGGTAGTAAATTTCATTAAAAGCAAACAGCGTATGTACAAAATCATTGCTTAATCTCTTCTTAAAATAGCAGAATCATATTTTGTTCCAGATCATTGCATTCTGTTTACGTACAATATATGTGTTAAATTTATTTATTATATGTAACCCTTTAATAATCGAAAATAAATGTAGTCAACTTTCTCTAAAAAAACATAATGAAGTTGGTCAGATATAATTATAATGAGCAATAGATGTTTGATATACAATTCTTAAATAATGAAGTTATGATGAAATTTCGAACTTCATAAAATTTTGACCTTCAGGGTCAATGTTATGAGGGAAAACATTCAAGGTCTAAGAATGAAGGATGAAGTTCATGGATTTTATATCCAAGTTTAAATTTGCCTACAAAGAAACCAAAAGACATGAGAGTAAATGGACAACATAAAAGCTGTGTGATAGTCAATAATCTGATGCCTGGACATCAATTAAAATACAAATTATATATGTGTCAAGATGACAATCACCAATTAGAAGCAATTAACAAAAACTAATTACAGAAAAAACATAATTAGATGAAAAATCATTAAATAAAACAAACTAAACAACTTTTAATTAGGTCATTTGTTTCAAGGATAATCCATAAAATTCATGCCGAAAGAAATTAAACAGAGCTTATTCTGTCCCTTAATTAAGATAACATTGAAAGTCTCTGGAAAAAATTGATAAAATACAGCCTACAAATTAGCCAGTAATCTATTACTTTGAACTGAAAGTATTCAATTTACAAACATATATACAGTCGACATTGTATTAAGAGACCACTCAAGGGACTGCCAAAAAGTGGTCTCTTAATAAAGTGGTCTCTAAATAGAATTCTGGAAAATTCGAGACTTTTTATTACAAGTCATAGATATATTAACATATTTTTTATAAAAACAAAAACTATACAATATTAAGTATGTATTACAGTTTTATAATTACATTTATGCCTTTTTGTTTCTTTTTTTTTAAAAAGTCATCAATATTGTTTGTTTTTGTTTTTTAGTAGAAATTTGTGTACAAATGTGATCTATGCTCATAATACTGTCAACATGTCATTTTGACCATGAAACAAAGCATATTGTCTTATATTTTTAATATGTTCATATACATCTCCTGCTGAACATACTTTAGAATCATCAGCCAGAGCTCCAGATAATGTTTTATGCAATGAGTTTTAAACTTCTTAATTTTTTCAACAATTAGTTTTCACACTACCCCGATTTCAAATTAAATAAGATTTTTAGAGATCTAGGATTTTTTTGTCTTTTTTTGTCGAAGGGTCATATTTAATGGGATACTTCATGTATTTTATAAAGCATCAGATGAGCACCTACACCATCAGCAATGAAAGGCTCGGTTCTGTAATGTTTAGTCCACTACGTTTCGCGATTTTATTTCGACTACAATCTATGACATTTGCTATTTTCTCAGACTCAATTCTATGCACGATATCCTCCTACAATTTATCCGGTCTTATTAGTTGTCTGTCTTTTTTTTCTCGATCCGACGTCATTTTCGATAAGGGAGGTCACTCTGAGCACATTACAAAACTATGCAAATGCGGTGTTGTGATACGTTATTGCTCTGACAAAATATGTCACAATAAACATTACGATCGGAAAATCCGATTTTCAAACGATTGCAATTGTTATTCATTTCGTTTTTAAACGACAATTATTTGTGACCAATGACCATGAAAAATATTTGTTTGTTTGCTTGCACACATCTAACCTACTCGCTAATTACACAGGTGAGAATGCCCGCAGGGACGATTGTTTGTCACGGCTGTTTAATAGATACTTTAACACTTAATTTTGTACATTTGGGCCGACATTCAGTGGCCGCTGGCCGCGATATAAAATAGTCGTTTAATGGAATTAAATTAAATAGTAAAAATCATCGGGAGGGATTTTATGCGGCCGCTTAATAAACAAGAGGGCCATGATGGCCCTGAGGTCGCTCACCTGTATATAGGCCCCCCCCCAACCCCCCCATGATCAATGACCCCCTGGGGCGGGGCCAATTTTGACCCCAGCGCTTTTATTTGAACAAACTTGGTAGACACTTATTAGAACATGTTTCATGCTAAATATCTTAGCTCTAACTCTTTTGGTTCTTTAAAAGAAGATTTTTTAAGTTTTTACTATATGCATATTGGGAAAATCAATGACCCCCTGGGGCGGGGCCAATTTTAACCCCAGGGCTTTTATTTGAACAAACTTGGTAGACAACTATTAGAACATGTTTCATGCTCAATATCTTAGCCATAGCTCTTTGAGTTCTTTAAAAGAAGATTTTTAAAGTTTTTACTATATGCATATAGGGAAAATCAACCCCGTGGCGGGGCCAATTTTGACCCCAGGGCTTTTATTTGAACAAACTTGGTAGACACCCATTAAAACATATTTCATGCTAAATATCTTAGCTCCAGCTCTTTTGGTTCTTTAAAAGAAGATTTTTTAAGTTTTTACTATATGCATATAGGGAAAATCAATGACCCCCCCGGGGCGGGGCCAATTTTGACCCCAGGGCTTTTATTTGAACAAACTTGGTAGACACTTATTAGAACATGTTTCATGCTTAATATCTTAGCTCTAACTCTTTTGGTTCTTTAAAAGAAGATTTTTTAAGTTTTTACTATATGCATTTAGGGAAAATCAATGACCCCCTGGGGCGGGGCCAATTTTGACCCCAGGGCTTTTATTTAAACAAACTTGGTAGACACCTATTAGAACATGTTTGATGCTCAATATCTTAGCCACAGCTCTTTGAGTTCTTTAAAAGAAGATTTCTTAAGTTTTTACTATATGCATATAGGGAAAATCAATGACCCCCCGGGGCGGGGCCAATTTTGACCCCAGGGCTTTTATTTGAACAAACATGGTAGACACCCATTAGAACATATTTCATGCTAAATATCTTAGCTCTAGCTCTTTGGGTTCTTTAAAAGAAGATTTTTTAATTTTTTACTATATGCATATAGGGAAAATCAATGACCCCCCGGGGCGGGGCCAATTTTGACCCCAGGGCTTTTATTTGAACAAACTTGGTAGACACTCACTAGAAGATGTTTCATGCCAAATATCTAAGCTCTAGCTCTTATGGTTTTTTAAAAGAAGATATTTAAAGTTTTTTCTTTCGGTTGCCATGGCAACCAGAATTCTGCATGGAATTAAATTCTTTGAACAATTTTTAAAGGTGACCACCAAAGGAACATTCCTGTGAAGTTTGGATGAAATTGGCTTAGTGGTTTATGAGGAGATGTCATTTAAAGTAAAAGTTTACGGACGGACGGACGACGGACGGACGACGGACGAAAAGCGATCACAAAAGCTCACCCTGTCACTTTGTGACAGGTGAGCTAAAAAGTCGCTTAATAAAGGTGGACGCAAGTACGATGCCGACTGTACATTTTCAACAATCAATACAGATTAAAAATCGCATGTCTAAGTTTCATATATTTCATTCATTAAAAGTCGAGGATATTCAATGACTAGATTCCAATCCATACATTCAAGGCTTTCAGAAATGGATGAAAAAATTTTTTATTCCATGATATTATGTAAATGGAATATCATGTAAAACACATATAAATCAAGGCTTCTTAAAAGTAATTCAAGTTGTGTTGGCAGTTATGTTATAAATCAATGCAAACCTGTGTTGGCGTAACTTCCTCGGAATCTTCTTTTTCATCATTTCTTGCCAGGTATGACTTGTTTGTGATTGCGTACATATCCTCGCTGATAGAGTTATGGGTGTTTGAGATCCCATCATCTGAGCGGGCATCGGACTGTATACCGCTGTCATTAGAGTCCGGAGAGTTGATATCAAACCCAGCATTGGCAAATCTGAAACAATATATCAAAATGAGATTTTATCAATTTTGAATTACAATAATTTTTTCCCCATTTGAAATAATGTTGACCTAAAGGTGATAACTAACTTAAACATTTTTACAGGTTCACTTGGTAGTATTACATATTAACCCAGGACTTTTACCCTTACCATGCTCATTACCTTTAATAGACTCATCCAATATTCTATTAATCTGAACAAAACCATTCATCCTATATAAGGGGAAAATTTCAAAATGACTGCACAAGGCAGACCATTATCAGACTTCACTGACATGTCAGCTGATCTTGGTCTGCGCTGGTCGCATGGGCGATGTCAGTCACCACAAGAAGGCAATGATTTAAATAATCTTGGCACAAATCTTATAGTTTCACACAAAAGTGATCTAGATTAGGAAAGAGGCCGGTATTTGTAAATCATAAACCAATGCCTCATTAATACTACAAAAATGATTGAATTGTATTGTACACAAAAATCATTATACTTGTATAACTTTTAACTTTTTTTAACCTCAAACTTTCAACAGGTGCTTTTATTTTTAAATCAACCTTCAAATTTAATGCACTTTTTCATTCTCAAAATTAGGCAAATGTCAATTCATACTAATTTTCTAAGTTTGATACTTTCATCAGCATTATTGGTACTTCAAATGTATATAATTCATGGTTATGCTACATTTCAATGACTTTGCTAAAATTAAAACTTTAATAACCTATTTTTGAGAGTCTTAATTTTCAGAAAGACCCTTTGAACTTATAATTCTCAAGAAATATCATAAAGGATTCAAACTTACGTTTTCTGTCGCATAGTTTCAGACAGCGACGGCGTTGTTTCACCACTATCACAATCCTCCATGTAATTTTCCGTATTCTCGAGCTCTTTTTTCCGTCTCTCACTCCTTTCCTTCGCACTTTGTTCTAACAGAGAAATATATGCCAAAATTCCCTTTGGCTTTTCACCGTACGTCATATTCACACATTCCGTATTATCCAACTTTTCATCATCGTTGTCTTGAGTAACAAGTTTTGTATCAGCGTCGACAATGTCATTTTCCTCGTCGGAAACAATCTCATCACTTTTAATGGAAGCATTTTCATCATCCTCTATCGAGTTCTGTGACTGAAGTCCCCCGTTGAGAAGTTTCGACTTTTCTTGTTTTTCCGTGACTAACGACATGATGTTGATGTCTTCACTGTCACTAAGATTGTTAACAGACTGGTTCTTCTTGTTGCTTTTTTGGTGGCTGTTGAATTGGTAGTTAGGATTTGAGAAGCTCAGAAATGGAGTTTCCATATCTGAAAATAGAAAATTACATAATGTTGTATCGAAAAGAACCGTTGACTGATATAAAATACCAATTTGGACCTAAAGTGTTACCTACTGAACACTAATAGATCTATCAAATTATCACTTTTAAAACTTTCATGGGCAATGATTTTTAGTACTCCAAAAATAATGACTCTGCAAAAGAAAAATTTAAATAGCATAACCTTAAAGGGACACCACTGAGGTTTTTTGACATGATGGGACTAAATATATTTTTCCAGATAAATGTACCATTTGATGTACATTTAGACCACTAGTCTTAGTGCAAAATTTCAGATCGTTCCCGCACTTCCTTTTTCCAGAATAATTATTCAAATTGTAAAAAAATGACCCAAAATGAAAAGTGTTTAAACGCTTTTCACTCAAATCAGGCTAAGAAAAGCATAAAAATACAATTTTCAATTTATTTCAAAGTACATTTCTTAACTTTCTTTGCATATATATTTCTGTTTAAAGTGCCCCAACTATGATTTATGTAAGAAATCCGAATGTTATGTTTTTATGCTTTTAAACCTCAGTGGAGTCCCTTTAAAATATGAAATAACTTCATTTCATTTGTACTACTTTTTTTCTTAGAAATCTGTAGGTTTTTAAGGCAAAGAAATAAGTTTCATGTGGTATATAGACCTAGACCTAATTTTTGACACAAATGATCAATCACGATTAATTTATGAACAACAAAAAGTTTCAATGCTCTGGTGCTGTGGACAAATGAAATAAGAAAGAAAACCAAGACTTTTGATAAATCCAGCATAAAGACAAGGCTTACTAAGCAACACCCTTACAAAATAATTCAAAGAAACATATACTTTTTTAAGAAATGAAATATTCACTAATATGAACAGTTACAGTTCTCCAGCATTGTATTTGAACGGAGAAAGTCACAGGGCCATCAAAACTTGAAAATATGAAATCATAAAACTTGAGATGATATTACCATTTTGATGGCGCTATTTCATTATTTCCTATCATCCAGTATCTTATCACATGTCTAAAACTTGCGAAATCTTAATATTTTTCATGGAGCTAATTTTTTGCAACAAGCAATCAACAGGCACCATTCTAAACAAAAAATTGTTATAGAGGCTGTCATTTTATCACTTGATTTCTAGCCATTTCTTTAAACTATAACCCTCAAGTGGGAAATCTTAAGATTCAAGATGCATTCATTCAAGGCTCCAAATAGACCTAACTCGCATGGAATAAAATTCCATTTCCATTAATGAGTCATATTATCTGAACAAATTAAAACATCACAGTGTCTCCATATTTCTTTTTTTACAAAATGAACCTTTGGGAAATATCTAAAATTATTATATGGATTTTTTTCTTCTTTTAAAAAAATAAATAACATCAATTCCTTATAAAATCTGGCTCAGATATTACATTATATGATAATTTTCAACTCAAAAAAGACCATGATCAATCAGATCCCTGTATCCCTCAGAATATGACATCTGGCATTATGCAGTAAGCTCCAGCTTAAGGTCCCTTCTAGGCATTGTACATTATTCTATTGTACATTATTCTAGGCATTGTACATTATTCTATTGTACATTATTCTATTGTATATTATTCTAGGCATTGATCATTATTCTCGGCATTGTACATTATTCTAAGTATTGTACATTATTCTATTGTACATTATTCTAGGCATTGTACATTATTCTATTGTACATTATTCTAGGCATTGTACATTATTCTAGGCATTGTACATTATTCTATTGTATATTATTCTAGGCATTGTACATTATTCTATTGTATATTATTCTAGGCATTGTACATTATTCTATTGTACATTATTCTAGGCATTGTACATTATTCTATTGTATATTATTCTACGCATTATGTACATTATTCTATTGTACATTATTCTATTGTACATTAATCTAGGCATTGTACATTATTCTAGGCATTGTACATTATTCTAGGCATTGTATATAAGCTTTGATGAACCGACCACTGATATATCAATCATTTATTAATTGCTATTATAGATTACAAAACATAATCATCACAGAAAATACAGTTCATAGATAAAACAATAAATGATTTTTTAACAATTATTACAGTATTATAATGCAGGAGAGGAAGTATTTCTAGGTTTTCATGCAGGCTATTTTGAGATTAAAACATCATCATAACATCGAACCAATGCCATTAAAAGCCATATCAATTACACTGTATAGACAGAGATCTTTTGACAGGAATTTTCAATAAAACCACACTACTTTATTGTAACTTTTAAAGTCAGATATTCAAGTTTAGCCACAGGAAAGACTACAGGGGCTATCTGATTACATGTTTTTATTAAAAAGATCTGTCATAGAGTAAATGACAAATTTATCACCGTTCCAGGAATGATATTTATGAAACAACAATGTTTTATTATCGTTTCTCTTTAATGGAATTCCTGCATTCCGCAGAACAACTGATATAACGACTCCTTCACTGTCTATACACATCATAATCGTGTAAATGACATTTTCCAGAAAATGTTCGGAACAAGAAGTTTTTTTTTAAGGAAATGCAAGCAATTCTTGTAATTTGGTATTGACTAATATTAACTAATAGAATAAATAACCTGTAATATTCCCTAGACATCTAGAAGTCCTGGGATAAATCTAAGAATCATTATACTGACAAGTGCTGACACTGATCATAAAATTCTAAATACAAGACAGACTTACAACTATGTTCTTTATAGAACTAATCAACGTAATTGCAGATGGTTTTAGCAGTAGGTCTGCAGTAACGGTGGATCCATAAGGTACAGAATTGGTCAGGTGGACCCTTTTTTGTTCAAATTTTTAGCTATTGCTATGACAATGTTAGCTATAACATAATAATTATTATTATTGTACAATCTTAATTTTGATAATAATATAAATTCAAGTAATATTCCAATTTTATTGAGATTTGGACTCGAAGAAAAAAATACAAAATTTGAATTAATCAGTTCACTGAAATTCCTTTGTCAAAAGTGTTAAATTTTAATTGATTAGATTCTAAGAACTTATCGATAATCAAGAGTCAGATTTAGACTTACAGCTATTATATTGTTACCTCTAAGTGCAGTAATTAACAGGTTAACTCCTCTTTAATTTAATACGAGTTAACTCATTACTGAATTAAGGTGATGATAACGAAATTATGACCTTTATGATGCCAACAGGATAAAATGCTGGTCTTAAGGTAAATTTTGTTTTTAAGACACCTTACATAATATTTGCATTCAGGTTAAAAAAATCTTTTTCTGAGACCTGTCTAATTGCCCACATCAGAAGTGGCTGAGGATTTCCATTGGTTCAATTTCTGTACTGGTTTTTGACCAATCAAATACCTGCCATCTTAATTTAGCCTGGACAATCTCTTTACAATCCAGATGCATTATACTATAATTTGCTGCCTTTAAGTTTTTTACATTTTGATTTTAAAATCTAGCTATTACATTGATAAATGGACAGCTCAAAATTCAAAGCACGGGCCAAGGGCATTATGCAAATAATGTAAAGTAATACCATATGAATCAACTGTACTTTAAAACAAAAATCAAAACAGGGAAATAATACTCCTAAAAAGTGATAAATTATTTTCCTTGTAAAAATACATAAAACAAAGTTTGCATCGTTTTCTAGGAAGATCGTTCAGGAAGGCAATAAAGAACGCTACTTGAGGTTTGCTTGATGATAACTGCTACTTTGTTGTTAAAATCCTATAAAAGCGCACATGCGAAACAATGGGAAAAAACAAAAACAAACCAAAAAAGGCAATAGTTTTTAACTTGTTACAGAGAGAATGTGACAAAATCAGAAGCTGAAGGTAAAAACTTTGAATATAAAAGTCAAGTTTAAAATGCTGGAACGAAAGTCAAGATTAAATAAATTTTTTCCATATGTTGGGTTTTCTTTTTTGGAAACCCGTTCGGGGGTTTTCCCCCCTTTTTGGGGTAACGGGGTTTTTTAAGAAGAAATTAGGAAAAGATTAAGAAAATTCAATATATTTTTGCAGAATTTTTACTAAATACTATTGAAAATTTATTTTGTTAAAAAATTTTAGAAACATGTATTTTTTAATTTTATTACATGTTTTTACAATAGAATCCCCCATGAGTTTTCAATGTATTTTTTTTTTTATAAAACAAGTTCAAGAAACTGTAATAAAGCGAGTCTCTGGTTAGTTTTACATTTCTTGGATGACTTTAATATGACTTTACACTATATGACAACGAATCAGAGCCTTAGGTTCATTTTATTATATGACTTAAAACGCATTGAAATTGACGAGAACGATCTTCCTTTAACATATTACATATGTTTTTGTATGCCGTTTTTTTTCTTATGAAATGAATTGTTGTAAGGACAACGTCATTTATAAAACATAGAATATATTAAAGCAATAATATCTATGACTCATGGTTTATACGTGGAAAACTAGTAATCGTAATGAGACAAACATTTCTAGGATAAAACCACAAAAGACGTTCTCCTCTGAGACATAATATTTTGACTGTTTATAGTACATGTACCTCAAGAACAATACCATATCTGTACTTCATAGGGAAAAGTTCTGTCATATATATTTCCTAGACATTATGACATATTCATAGCTACCAAGGGGACCCACTAAAAACATTGTCTAAAAGACAACAAACAAGTGTCATAATTCAAGAAACCATCACAGAAATCATGTTTCAAGTTGTCCGAATCAAACCCTTAGAGTGCAAGACCTGCCAATTTAGTCGGCATATATAAAATACACCTAATATAAATTTACGCCATCAATTTTTGTGCAGACTCTGACCAGACAATTTACTACTTGATGTTCAAATCTTAAGCCTTATATATTATATTACTACAACACTAAGACAACATTTGACAATAGGAAATGTCCAATAGAAAAGTTTAGCAAAGGAAAAGGTTTAATTGTGTTACGAGATTTTAAATCTTCTTTCAATATTTTATAAACT